TTTTTTTTTTTTTTTTTTTCTTTTTTTTTTTTTTTTTTTGCAGTTCGAGAGGAAACAATCAATTTCAACGAGATGCAGCGGATAAACATCATCAACTTGCAAGAGGTCTTTTGAAGGAGGCGTTGGTTCTTCCATCGTTCTCGACGGAAGAACAGCTGGGGACCTTCGACTCCCAACTGTTATACGTAATCGATGTCGACTGACTTTCTCTCTCGTGGGCCCGCCAGACGAGAGCGATGGATAGGAGAGAACTGGTCGCTTTACCAATCTCGTATTTCCAGGCATACGTTAAAAAAAAAAAGAAAAAATCTTTCATAATCACCCAACCGCTAAATTTAAATGCCAATTAAGAAATCGTCATTGGAGTGTAATTATATGACGAGTTCTATTGAACGATCTCGCGTTATCCTTCCATTTCGCCACGAACTTTCGTAACCCTCGATACGACGAGGCAATGCCTCTATAAAATTTCTTTTTTAACGTGATCAATCGACAAAGCGCGGGCGAGACGCGAGCAGCTCCAGCTGATCCTGATTTCCACCGACACTCCAAGTCATTAAACTTCCGTTCTCGTTCTAGACCGATCCAGATGTACAATACACACACACATACATGCCCTACATGCCCTATCCCTTACGCGGATATGTACATGGAAGCGTACACACGGGAGGCCATCAAGCTTCGCTCATGGTTTCCGTCTGGCCCATTGTTCGTTTCGTTTCAGAGGCCAGAAAAAAGTCGCTCAGATCGAAATCTATTGAACCGTCTGAAAAGCGAGCTCTTTTCTTCTCCTTTGCCGCGTGCTCCCTTTTCTGCGTCCTTCTTCGTCGTCTCGCTCCCTCCTCTTTTCAATTTGCACGCTCTCTGTCCTCTTCATTTCTCCGATCACCCTTCGTTTCTTCGTCTCTCTTTCTCTTTCTCTCTCTCTCTTTCTCTCTCTTCCCTTCCGCCAGCCCTAGAGGCCCATCCTTCTCGTCTCGTACGCGAGACTTTAAATTCGTCGGGGGGTGTCGCAAGATTCGCTCATAGGGAATCGAGGCTAACGTCTCCGGGGGATCAGCGAAATGTCAAAAGCGTACGCACGAAATTTCATCGACGATTCGTTTCTCTTCGAAACGAGTTTCAAGGCGAGAGAAATTTCTGCCGATCGTGAAGTTCTACCCGTGAAACGTACGCAACATATCGGTCGGTATGTTGCAAACTTCGTTTCCTCTCGTGGAAAAAATGTTTGCTGTTTCCATTTGGAGGGGATTGAGTAATTAAAAATCCCGTTAGGTCTCTTAAGGAATTGGGGAATTAATAACCTCGTGAAACTATTAAACTGGAATATATTATGTGAGAATGGAAATAATATATTTTAATGGATTGTTTGTTTATATTGGGTCTATTGAGATATACATAAAAGAATTATTAGCTATTTGTAGATAATAGAGAGAAAAAACCTTGTGTATTATTTATTAAATAGAAATTTAATAATACAATGTTATATGTATTATATACAATGTTTTATGAAAAAATAAAATTCACTTATAAATTTAGAAATTTTGTAGAAGATCAAGTATAAAAATGATAAATATTTTGTTTAATTTTCAATTATAATTGTTATATTCTCTATTCTACTTGTATTATTAAATTCTTATGAATAATTGTATAACGAAATTCAAATAATCAACGAGATTTAAATTATATTACGTCAAAATAACAATAACACATGACAAATATTAATTTTAACTTTTTCTCTAAATTTGCCCCCATATACCTACACCATTGTCCAAGGTACTTCGAATTCTCAGTGCAAACGCATCCTAGAAGCCGATCGTGAATCGTTTTCTGTTTCTCGTTCGTTCGAAAGTGCCGACTATAAACACAAAGGTAACCACGTGAATGTTAGGTGTAAATAAATCTTCTATCGAATTTATAGCTAATTTGTGGCTCCACGCTGTCTTAACGAGCCATTCTAATCGTTGTAAAATTTCCATATGAAATGTACTAACCTGTATTCCGATAAGGCACAGAATCATTACAAATTGAGGTTATGTAGAGATTTTCGTCTTTGAAGTAAATTTTTTCGCATCTAACGTTACTTATTATTTTTATCTTTATTATTACACTATATTTCCAATTTAATATATTTATTATTTTAATAAAAAGAGTTTTAAACCACGTAATATGCAAAGAATCTCACAATATCATCAAAGATACGAAAATGTTTGACTCTCGCCGACATACGTCCGTTCCTCAATTAATCCTTATTTTTCACGGTTCCCAACCTTGAGCATTCACCACTCAAATTTTCGAACTCTCAGTGCATGCCAACCTATAGACCAACTGAAGCTCGGTTTACAACGTACACAACACGAATGCTTCTTCACAATCGATAGAAATAGCGATAGAAGTCTAAATTTATCAGAAAACAAATTCTTATATAATATCGAGGAACAGGAAAAATCTAGTAAAATACTATCTCAACCTCTCTTATTTTTCTCAAAAATAGAGAAAAATAAGTTTAAAATGATTGGCAGTTCGATTACATCGAAGCAAGAATCGAATTGTAACAGGATACGCATTCGTGTAATATTCCCGACTTCTTAACTAGTAAAAACAGAGATCAAGGAAAGGTGAGACCAGGAAAGGTGACAAGTGTTATAGACTGCGGTCAGAAGCACATTCCGCGAATGGATCGAGCACGGTATATTTAGAAAGGAGGCAGTTTATCCACGCTATCATCGTTTACCATGCTATTTATGCGTTTTCGCCGTTGTGCAACGGCCTTACGGCCGCTGCCCATGCTGACCCCGCTCGATGGACATCGTTGCGTGGGTGGCCGCCGAATTTCGTGGTTAACCAGATATTGGGATAGATAGTCGATCAATATTGTCAGCACCGACTGGTTCTCTGTCTTTGTGAATCACAGCGAGATTTAACTAAGTAATCGCTCAATCGTTATCCAACGTTTTTTCAACCGACTATTATCTCCGTGATTCATTCCGAGATATCCGCCAATTTTCTACACCGTCTTCATCAAAATAACAAATAAACTCACGATACCCAACAATCAACTAGCATCGAGGACGACTCGAAACTCCCCGAAAAACCGGAATTCAAAAGTATCACAAGGATACACCTTGACATGGCGTCTAAGTCTTATTTACCCTCGGCTGGCTCGGTGGCCAAGCGTGATCGTATTAAAATTCACACCTCGTTCACCCCGATGGCACGCGAAACGGATCGCACACGCTCGAGGCGGTATCGTATGGGTGCTAGCCGCGAGCAATACGGCCCTGCCCTTCAGACACGCCGTTCGGCG